GACAAGCTATAGAGTCTCTATAAATTAAGGTTTTATAGACTAATAAGTCACAAGGAAAAGGAAGAGGATAGGTTTTAATTTTTTTAAAATTTATTTAGAATACAAAACACTAATTATTAGATGATGTGGTTTTTAATCGTGGATGTACACTCCATCCAAAAACTAATATTGCACTGGCTGAAAATTAGTGGATTAGATTATGTGTTCCTTAAGGAAACATTCAGTGGTTGGGAACTTAAAGCATCTATATTGATGGTTTTAACTTTAAATCTTGGGATATGTGAGAAAAGTTTTAGAAGGAGAAGAATTATCTTTCACTATATTGTATAATTTAATATAATTTAAAGTGCACAACTTAATTGAGACTCCTAATATGAGAAGTTATTTTCTATTTAACAATTTTTGTTTTGCAATATAAAAAAAAAATTCATAACTTAGACATAACTTCATTAAATGGGATAATAATTGCTATAGATTGGGCATTAATTATTATAGATTAGGTAGTAATTTTTGAAGAAAAAATTAGGTAAATAATGGGTGTTTAATGTATCCATCTTCAATGTCTATTAAGGAGATCAATATTTGATAAAATTTTGTGTGTTTAGGGCTGTTTAAAAGAAACAATAATGTCAAAATTATAATATCATATAAAATTTATAAATTATAATATTATATAAAATTTTAAGTTTTTAAAATGAATTTAATGTGTTATTAATAAATAAATTTATATAATATTACAAGTTAATTATAAAAAAATATATCATATTATAAATTTATAATATCACATGATATTATAATTATCTAATTTTAATATAAGAAAATATTCACTTTATGAAGGTCTTTCTTTTTTTCTTTTTTCTTTTTTTTTTTTGTGACGTTCTATGAAGGGTAATACATTGAAGATTACTAGTGGCTGCCATAGTCACATGGTATGGAAGAATATTGGTGAGAAAATAATAGGATCTCGCTAAGTGTACCGGAGGATGAGAAGGAAAAATGGATGCCGAATTGCCAAGTCATAGAACTGTCCAAAGAAAAGTCCGCTTCACACTCCGATTTTCGTACTTCACTCCTTCCCTAATATCTCTCTTTATTCGTTCCCTCCTCAAGAATAAATTCATCCCCAACCCATATCATTAATATATAAAACCCATCCAACCCATCACGTAAACCAAAGAATCCCACAACTGGAAAAAGGTTGAAAGCTAAATATGGAGGATGCCAGGCAGACAAAGAGGAGGATACAACTGCCGGTGATCGCTGGCGGTGGAATTGAAGGGTTGGTCGTGTGGGGCGGAGCATTGGCTGTTGCAAGTTTGGTAGCTGTCTTTACCATCCGAAAAGGAAGAAAAAAGGATGATGCCAAAACAGACAAGGATCAGCCAACAGTGGATCTCCTCCATGAGTCTGGCATGAAAGAGAAGGAAGATGTTGGTGGCAAAGCGCTGCAATTTGTTATTCCAGAAACTCATTCCATTATGAATGAAAATTCAAGGTTTGTAAAAAATACATATTGCATTGTTCCATTGGGTTTTGATTTTAAACTGTTTCAATTAATGGCACCCTGTTTTTGTTAATGTAAATTATGTGATTTGGACCATTTCTATTAGCAGCGAGAAATTCTATGAAGTTGGTGCCAAGGAGATAGATCCTTCCGAATCTGTCCCTAACTGGAATGCCATTGCGGTAAACAAATTTGTTTTCTTTTCTTTATCTTTGGTTGATTCCTTTTATCTTCGTGGACATTGATCTGACTCAAATTCTCAACTCCAAAAACATTAATTTATATTTTGAAATCTTTCATGTTTATGTTTTTCTTTTGATTTTGGTTGCACAATCTCTGTTCTCCCTTTATCTTCCATTGGAGGTATCTTATACAAGTGGAACTTAGAATCTCTTGTTCTAAAAAAAGAGTACTACTGGGTCCCTTGTTACCGAATCTTTTATGTTTATGGTATTCTTATTTGAATATTTGTTTAGGAAGAGAATGCTTTGCAGGCCGTGACTGATGCCAATGCAGTAAACAAGAATTCTATGGGCGGTCACCAAGAGATTCTTCTTTCGGATACAGAACAGGAGAGCATTGCGATTTCTGAGGATTATTGTGTAGCTGAAGAATTTCCACTCCCTGTTCCTGATTCTGAATCAGAAAGCATGGCCCAAAATGGGAAGGAGGGCTCTTCTAAGATGGAAACCTTTGATGCAGAACATGTGGCTGGAGACAAATCATCCTCAATGGGATCGTCATTGTCTTCAGCATCATCAACAGATGAGGAAGAGGAGGATTCACCAATCCAATCATCAATGTCATCGATGATGTCATCAGAGGAAGAAGATGATAGTTCCGCAATACAATCAACACTGTCAACAGAAGAAGGGAAAGA